GGAAAGAGGTCTTTTGCAGCAGCTTTGCCCAATTCAAAACATCATTTGATTTCTCGACTGCTGTTTCCATGGGCATTGATTGTAGATCCAAGCAAAATGAAATTCTTGACAGCTTCAATATGTTCTCCATTTATCATGATGTTGCTTATTGGTTCACTTGTAAGGATCTTTGAGGGCAACTGTGAAGAGAAGGCATTCAAGGATAGGGGTCCAAATAGGTAGTGAGCCTTGCACAGTCCTTGGTAATCAGGAAGGCTTCCTGAAGGAGTTTTCAAAGTGGGGTTTGAGGACTCCCTGCATCAGAAGCACCTGGAAGCCCATTAAGCATGTGATACCTGGGCTCACTGTTGACTCTGGAGCCTGGAGGTGGGACCCAGGCATTGAATTCTTAATAATGCCCCAAATGATTCTTATGGACACTGAAATTTGAGAAGCAAAGAATTATAGGGAGGAAATCTCCCATAAGGCTGAAGGTCTAACATAGCAGTTCTCAATGCGGAGCAATGTTGACCCTGAGGGAATATTTGGCAATCATTGTCTGGAGATATTTTTGGTTGTCACAACAAGGGAAGGGTGCTATTGGCATCTAGTGGGTAGAGGCTAGAGATGCTGCTAAGCATTCTATAATGCTCAGGACAGCCCCACAACAGAAAACTATCTAGCCCAAAATGTCAATAGTACTAAGGTCAAAAAACCCTGGTTAACGATTACAAGTCTGAATCCTTCTAAGTGTGGGTGCACATGATTTTTAATCTCCTCTTTTTACTTTACTTTCCACCTTTTCCACAGAGTCCTTTTCATTGAATATCTACTATGTAGCAAGCGCCTCATGCACATTATAACAGTTTCTCTTCAGAAACCTTCTCAGTCATTCATCCAACAAATATCTATTAAGCATCTATTATGTGTTCAATTTTAAACCGTTCAAGGCGGGGATATGCTGGGGGAGGGATGAGTACAGTAGACAAAGATCATCTTAATGGAAGTGGGAAGATAGAAATAGATCATATGTGTAATTTCAAACTGTGATAAGTGTTAAGAAAAACCAGGTACAGGGGCAGAGGATAAAGAGGCGAGGGTGAGAAGAACCTACATAAATACGTAGGGAAGTTGTCTTAGTCATCTAGTGCTGCTATAACAGAAATGCCACAAGTGGATGGCTTTAACAAAGAGAAATTTATTTTCTCACAGTCTAGTGGGCTACAAGTCCAAATTCAGGGCATGAGCTCCAGGGGAACGCTTTCTCTCTCTGTCAGCCTTTTCATCAATCTTCCCCAGACTAGAAGCTTCTCTGTGCAGGGATTTTGGGGCCACAGTATGCACTCTGCTCCCAGCACTGCTTTCTTGGTGGCATGCAGTCCCCCCATCTCTGTTTGCTTCTCTCTTTTATATCTCAAAAGATATTGGCTTAAGACACTATCTAGTCTTGTAAATTTCATCAATATAACTGCTGCTAATCCATTTTATTACATCAGAGTGATACGATTTACAACACACAGGGAAATCACTTCAGATTACAAAATGGTAGACAATCGTACAATACTGGGAATCATGACCTAGCCAAACTGATACACACATTTTTGGGGGGACAAATTCAGTCTATGACAGCAGTCCTCCCAGAGAAGGTGGCAATTAAGCCAGAATCTGAAGGATCTTTCTTTATTAGCCATGCAAAGCAATGAGGAACCACTTTCCAGGAAAAGGGAAAAGACGTACAAAGGCCTTGAGAGAGGAAAGAAAAA